TATACGAATATTTATGGACTTGACTGTACGTACGTAGATTTTTGTACATACGATTCGTTAATCATTGAATGACGGCAAGGTAATTAATGTAAATTATGCAGTTTACGCATTGAAAGATCGATGGTAAAATAATCTCAAAACAGTATTTACGTGAATGTAAATTATAAAACATAATGAGGTTCGTCATCTGTGATTAATATTGCATGTTCATTTGCACATTCTTTTATTCACTGATTACATTCTTACAAAAGTCGTTGATACCTCATTTTGCCTACATGAAACCTTCTACAAATTCTTTAGTCTAATCTATTAAAGAATTTATGTTAATTAATACTTCTGCTTGGAATTGCAAAGATGTAATTTTTCCATTTCGAATAAATATCACGAAGTACATGCGACGAATAAGGTGCGATATTAGCGAAGTTGGCAAATGAACATTTATTGATACAAAATATAAATCGAGTGTAAGTTGAAGATATAAAGAACAACGTATTAACAAAATTAAAGAATGTGAAAAAAGAGATTCGAAAAATTTGTAAAACACCTATATAAATAGATCTTCCTAGTGGTATTTAAACAATATAATTACATGATAATAATAAGCTAAGTAGAAATAGATTCACATATGTTAATACAAATCTAATTGAATTTGATTTAAATTCTTTTTGCAAATACAACATGAATGATCGAGTAAAGCAACAGTAGTAAATGAAAATGCACTTAAAATAGAGATTAACAAAAATAAAGAGTTCAATAGAGAATTTGAAATACATGTCATGTACTTGTAAAATGTCAATTTTTAAACGAATACGTTAATTTTTTGACACAACATTTTTCTTTCTTACTTATTGTTAGTACAAAGGTATTTTAAATCTAAAATTTATAAGTCCTACGTACAATGCTCTGCAGGCATAATTATAGTTCTTCAGAAGATTTTTCTCTTCAATGAGTTTATTTATAGCTACTTTTCAAACAGATTTGTAAAATTGACATTACTCATATCCAGACTGTGGATTTCTATGCAGATAAAGAAATTTATAATATCAATTTGAAAAATGTAATACAGACAGGAATTTCTTTGATCCATTAAAAACAGCAATACACATTTAATTTTTGATGTTCTTGCAGGTTGAATGCATTTTCTATATTTTTCGCATAAATGTATAAAATCCACAGTCTATTGATATTATGTGTATATTAAAAAAGAAATTACATTATCATACATAAAC